CACACACACACACACACACACAGCAGCCATTGATATCCTCTCCCATCCACTTGCCCAAGGAAACACTGAACTCTTCCACCCCACTCAAGTTACAGAAGGGAATGAATGAGAGGGCAAGGAGGAACAGAAAGGGAGAGGAGAGAATGACCCCAGTGTGTTTGTGCCAGGGCCTAATGAGGCGTGTAATACCATGAATAGGTTGTTCGGTTGGTTCACCATGAATTCCTCTGGTTCAAAGTGGGTTGGTGATGTGTGACGTGGAACGCCTCTCACTGGCAGGGTATTACTCAGCTGTGTCTCACAGGACTCTTGTCAGCACGCTCGGTTTGCATCACCAAATCTGAATCACACATGCATGCGTCACATTAGCATAGTCCGACCTGCTGTATTACTCTGCACTTTTCTACATTTTTCCTTTCCACTCCCTTTTGTCCCGGGCAAACACACACTCATCAGTTTTTCTTTCTATTGCAGGAGCACATATTCAAGCTCATGAAAAGTGACAGTTATGCACGCTTTTTGCGATCCAACATCTACCAAGATCTCCTGTTAGCCAGAAAGAAGGTGAGCTGCACTCGCTGACCCCGATGTCACCTTTTCTTTTTACAAAAGTCTGTCACTCTTATTGCATTTCTCATATTGTTTTGATCCGTTTTAATGATTTAAAAGCCATTTCAAGTTCATAACTATTGCATGCATGTAGTCAGTAAAATGATATAGGGCCCTATTTTAATCGTGCAAGTGCTAGGCCTGTTTTTGGTTCATATATTTGCAGCAGCACTAAGCGCAAAAGGTCTGGGAGAAGTGAAATATACATCAGAGGTGTGATGTTTATTAAATACTCTCTTACATTACTGGTGTCATTGCTCTGAAACAGCCAATCACTGTGAAGCTTATCATACAGTATTAATTAGCTGAGAACAAGAGTTATTCTAACAATAAATTTAATGATATAGATGCACTGACTCGGGAATGTTTAATTAAATTATTAAAATTGATTTACAATGTACATTTATTTACATTTACCCCATGTAACTAAGTTACATTTATGCAATTACTGTACTAGAATTTTGAGTATTTTGAATTTTGATTGTACTTCACTCTACGACATTTATTTACTTTAGTTACTAGTTATTTTGCATATTCAGATTAGTAATACAACATACAATCAACTAATAAGTCATGATGCATCATTAGAGATGATCCTACTAGTATAAATAATGTAGGTACAGTTTGATCAAACATTAGAGATGCTTACCCATTGATGCATCAGTGCTTATAATCCAATAATATTATATATATTATTCTAAAATGAGCTATTCTGCATGATTGCAACTTGTAATGCTTTGAGCACATTTTAATGCTAATACTGTTGTGCTTATTATTATTATTTCTACAATGTGGTATTGCTACTTTTACTTGAGTAAAAGATCTGAATACTTCTTGTATCACTAGTTAGTTCATTTTGAAATATACATCGGAAAAGCAATTCCTTGCACTTAAAGGTAATCTGATCACACTTTAATGCTACAAAGGTGGGCCATTTTACTGTCATTTGGCAGTTCTTAACAAGGTATGGCATTCGGCAGTTTGATACTGTCATGAGGCTACTTACAGAGCCCATGAAAGGCAAAACAACTGTGCCCAACATGCAGGTGCAAGGAAACTGCTAAATTATGTAAAATGTCAAGGGAACAGTCTAGAAAAACATTACATCATATGCCAAACACAGGCAAACTGCTGTATGAAGGAGGGACAGCAGTCATGCTGTGAATAGAACATAAGCAGGCAGAAGAGTAAAGTATATGTGTTCGACAGATGCAGCCTAATGTGGTAGTGATGGTGCTTTTGTTAGCTTTATGTTGTTTTTTCTACCTCCTGTGTGCTATCGCTGTCATTTTAAGGACATGCACAGCTAAACAATTAGCTGTCATTTAGCTGTTCCTGTGTAATATGGAGCTTTTCAGCAAATCACAGCTGCCTCTGTTCATGCTAGCCTTTCTCCCCTCCCGTTTGGACACTGCTCCTTCTGCTGGCCTGTCACTGACCCCACTCAATTTCCCAAAAAATACCACATTGTCCTCGGCCCTCATTTTTTGTAATGCTTGGCCCCTCTTTTCCTTACTAACTACATCACCCCGTGACCCCCCCCCCCCCCCCTTCCTCAACACCCGTACCTGACCCAAACACTCACCCTGCTTCCCCCCCCTCCCAAAACAGCAGCCAGCAGACACTGAACAGGGCCGCCGCACCTCCTTGGAGAAGTTCACCCGCAGTGTGGTAAGTCCTTTGGAGCTGCGGCTGTTCATATCACAAACCACACTGGCTGGCTCACTATAGTGGCTTTTGCAATGATAACCATATTACACTCTATTATGGCTCTTTACACCTGTAATAGGATGTGTATTTTGTGAAAAAGATAACACGCTAGTCACATGAATGGTTCCAGCCAAGCATTTTGGATTTTAAAAAAAGCACCTTGTTGGTAGGGATTTTTATTTATTTATTAAGCACTTGTACTTTCAGCATCTCAGTCTAGTGATGTGTTTTCGTTTTAATTGACCTTCTAGGGCAAGTCATTGACGGGAAAGCGTCTAACAGGCCTGATGCAGTCATCCTGACACAGCCTGTGCTGGAGAGGCACAGCCAGACCCTGTTGGAGGGGTGAGCGCCACACAGGGTCCGCGGCAGGGGCACAGACAGTGGAGCTGGGCTGGACAGGGCTGCTGTGGATGCTCTCATACACTGCTCCGAGGACTGCTGCCATACTGGTAGTGCAGCACTGGGGCCTGCCAGGGTGAACACCCCAAACAGCATCACTGAGGGAAAGACATTGCTGATAAGGGGAACTTTAGCCAACACACCACATGGCATGCAGCATACAGAATAAGCACATTCAGATGAGGGCTGCCCTCTTTTGTTCACTTAGTCAGCAAACTAGTTGTTAGGCTCTTTGTTAACGTTTGTATTGTTTTCATTTTATTTTATATACGTGTTTATTGGATATTATAAGCACATCTGTGGTGTTGCACCAATATTCTTTGATTACAAACTACATGTAAAAGCTATTTGCCACCGTATTTGCAATGAATTGATTAGTTTTCCTAAACACCTGCGGCCAAGGAGGTCAAAGAGGCACATCAACACAGACACAAATCTACAGTATTTTGTAAATGTCTCTGTATACTCAAAAGCAGCAATAAATTAAGTGCGACACCACCTTTTTTTTTTGTGGAAATATATCCTTTTTATATCCTTAAAATTTTTATTATATCTGTTCATTATAAAGCACATGGCATGTCATTTACATTGTGTTTTGGTAGTAACCAGGAATACAACGTTGGTTTTTCCCAGAATCTACAATAGAGACTTTTGAAGATATAACTTTTCATGCTTCATTACATTCCAAAATCTGGCATAAGGGCTTAATGTAGCATTCACACTGCACCGTTGCATGTTTCATTCAAATGTCTTTGTTGAGGATTTGTTGAACAACAGTGTTTTGTAATGAGACTTATGGAAAAGATTAATTTAATCCAGTTGGCGAATACTTTTTAGTGAACTTTCACTCTTCAAGTTCCAAACATTTCAGGCTGCACAGTGAAATTAGTAAATTCCAAAAGTCTGTGTGAATAACTAAGAAGCTTCAAACACAAACTTGACCCGCATGGTTGTGTGAATCACAGTGATTTGAGCATTTACTTTACTCACAGTTCTAGCGTGCATAGTCGCATGTGAAATAGCATCCACATGTTCTATCGGCTTCTACCATAGGGTAGTTTTTAACGTTTCCAGTGCCATGGGTCCATCTAGTGGTGGTTAAACCACAGGACCAGCAACAGTGTTACAAGACTATATGAAACCGTGTGTATATTGACAGACTTTATGATGTCAAACCTAGTTGTTCTCCGACCATGGATATATTACAAGGCCTGCAGCCCAATATGGGATCATTTATGTTTTGTTGCTTTTTTTACTGCATGAATATCTCATCTTTTGTTTTGTCAAAACAATGAAGCCTGCCCACTTCTGTTTGGCAAAATGTATGCTGTGACTCTACAGCTAATAATTGTCATGTGTTTTAATGACTATGGTGAAAATGGTGCATGTTATTGGACCATAATGGAGATGGGGGAAGATGGCTTGACTCTCCAAAGACAACACACAGACAAGGAATAGCCCTGAACTGGAGCAACACTTCTCAGCGAACGGACATGAAAGCCATGAAATGCAACTGGGAACATTTTTGAACTATCATGGGCTCCGCGCACTGAACGTGAAGGCCTCTGTGCGCCTCTGTGGCTTCAAACTTCTTACACAGACGGAAAGCACTTGTTATGAGGAGGTGTTCGCTTCACTGCTCCCCCATGAGGCCAGTGACTGCTACATTGACAGACTAAGCTGCTGAATGAGTGTGTCACCTATTATTTTCTATTAGACCCGTTGCAATGAACTGTATAGGTCATATTAGTAACTATGTACCAAATGTTATCCTCAGCACAAACACAATGACTATGTACAGGGTGCATTGTAGATGTAAATTAGCAAAATTTCCTCATCCAAAAGCACACTTTATTATAACATGGGCACATTACTATGCATGTAACATATTCAGGGCATTTTGTGCTTTTAGTTTCTCAATCAGCAAGGTGACTACTGGCACTCCAAAACACTCAAGCACCTGCTATCTATTCATGGGTACCAAATAATAAAACACTCTGGACCTGTCTCCTCTGTGCCACTCTTTTGTTGGTGTTTGCTGTTGAATGAAACAAAAGAAACCAAATTTGTCTCCTCTGTTTCAGCTTACAGTTGATCTGATGTGTTTTTTCTATTTGCAGTGTTTTGCCTAAAAGCTGTGCATGTGTTGTGAAATTGCCGGGTGGAACAGTAGCTCGGTTTTGTCCAGGTTAAGCTTCAGGGGGTGTGTCGCCATCCACTTCGAGATGTCAGCCAAGCACGCAGCGATGCGTACCTCCACTTGAGTGTCACCGGGGGGTATAAGTAAGTGTGTCGAAAAAAAACATTGTATAGATTGTAAAAAAAAAAAAGACAAAAAAGTCTTAGTATAGTATAGCATGTCCAAAAAAGTCAAAGTATAGTTTGTCAAAAAAACTAAAATATAGTCATAGTATAGCATGTCGAAAAAAGTAAAATAAAGTTATAGTATAGAATGATGAAAAATCAAAAAACCCAGTTTGGAATGTCGAAAAAAGTCATAGTAGGCTACAGTATGTTGTAAAAAGGAAGTTATAGTATAATATGTCGAAAGAAGTAAAATAAAAATAAAAAGTCATAATATAGTATGTCGGGAAAAAAAGTGATAGTATAATAAATCGAAAAAAGTAATTAAAAAAAAGTAAGGTATAGTACGTTGAAAAAAAGCCAAGATATAGTACATCCGAAAAAAAGTCATGGTATAGTATGTCAAAAAAAGTAATATATAGTCAATGTATAGCATGTAAGAACAATGTCATAGTATGTCAGAAAAATGCCATAGTATAGTATGTCAAAAAAATGTCATAGTATAGTATGTCAAAAAAATGTCATAGTATAGTATGTCAAAAAAATGTTATAGTATAGTATGTCAAAAAAATGTCATAGTATAGTATGTCGAAAAAATTAAAAGAAAGTCATTATAGTATGTCGAAAAAAGTAAAATAGTCATAGTATAGCATGTAAGAAAAATGTCATAGTATAGTATGTCAAAATAATGTTATAGTATGTCGAAAAAAGTTTAAAAAGTCATAGTATAGTACGTCAAAAAAGTAAAATATAGTCATAGTATAGCATGTAAGAACAATGTCATAGTATA